TCTACTGGTCACAACCACTAATCAGTAATTTTCAGAATTACTTTGAGCTCTTGCGAAGCGTAATAGTGCACTATAAGTTACCTCTCGTGGAGCAGGTACAAGGCTAGCGGTTGCGCTAAGGCGCCCGCGCGATTTTTGCGTCTGTCATCTAGCCTCAGCCTTATACCTGTTCCATGAGTGGTAAATCTAGTACACTACTACACTTTTGACGGGCTCAGAGTCTTTCTGAAAATTACTGATTTTGTGGTTTTCGATGACGTTGAAAAAGTTTCTAATTGAAACCATATGTATATTTTCATTGATAAAAAAGTTCATCAGCGAATTTTAATTAAACAGGGGACTCATCGTTACGATTGTATACCATGTCCCCTTGGCCGTACAAGTTACCTGCACAAAACTCATGAGTGTACCTTTCGCGGCTTTTTTTAAACAAATCTGTTAAGTTAAAAACAAAAATAACCTGTATATATGGTTGATATCAAAACAGACACGACTGCTTTAAATAAGACCTAAAAGTATGCCGCCCGTGCTGAAAGCCCTCAGGGACCACTAGAGCACACAGAAACATATGATTGCTGTGTACTATGAGGAGACATTGTTTGTACAGTGCTCCCCATACTTAACGCCGCTACTGGGTTCCCAATATTTCAGCTCGTGTCGGCTACTTACTGTTAAATTTGTCACCAAAACTTTCGGGGTGCATTCTCAAGATGGAATAGAAATCGGGAACATAAACATTCTTCAAATAGTTCGATCGGCCGGCGCAACAACTGTCAGAAACGGCAAATGCTGTGGCGGCGTTAAGTTTGAGGCGCACTGTACGTGCTCTGAACAGTATTTTCTTAACGCTGAAAGAGTGTACATACGTGTAAAATGCGGTTTTGTTTCTAAACATGTTGCTAAGCGCCACTCTTTTCTGTCAGGTTCTGTAATGTAGAAGTGGTTGAACAACTGCCCTAATAGAAAAGCCCTATAAGAGCCTTCAGAGCACGGAAAAATTTAACATCCATACTGAGATAGAAAACTATAGCTGGCACCGACTTCACTACAAATATATAGAAAGTTGGGTTGAGCATTCAGGGTATCACAGGAACGCGGGTCTTATTTCTCAAAGCTATGAAGCTTTGAGAAATCAAGAAACTCGTTGACGACTCGAACATTTATAGCGTAATGCGATAGTTAGTTACTTTACTGACACGAGTGACCAATAAAAAAAATATAAGGTACGCTTTACATACATGAGGCTCCTCTCAGGAGACTGCTCTAGCCCTCGGAAGAATATTCAGGATAGCGGCGATGCTCTTCGACTACACTTGTGATGCATAAGGGAAATGAACACGCCGACGTCAATGAATCTAAAATATTTGTACAAAAGTTCGAAAATCCTTAAACCTCTCCCCGTCCCCCGCTATTAGGATTTAGGATATTGGGATCCTAAATACTAATATATATATATATATATATATATATATATATATATATATATATATATATATATATATATATATATATATATATATACATAGTGCGACCAACCTCTGCTGCGCTGTCATCGCGCGACGCATAGAGTCTGGTTGCACTACCTCTCCACGGGGCGCCGTGCCGCCGGGGCTGAGATGTGCTCTGATAGCAAACCGAAACTTAAAAACCCGTCGATTTTGTGCGGCTTTTCAGGGAGCCGTAAAATGCCTCGCGTGCCTTCTATCGTTCGGCAATTTTTTGATTTAGTGTTTTTCGATAATGCTGAGCAATTTTCTAATTTAAACCATGCCGTTAAACACAGTTTTAAAAAAATTAATTACGCTAAAAATAATTAACAACTTAATTATCCCGGACTTTGATAATTGTCCTAAAGGGACCCCTGGCCCAGGACCAAAACGCCACAAGCCTTGTTTCGTTGCGATGAGTAGTTTTCGCAGGAGCGATTTGGCCTGCGTTCTCTTCAACACCCTGTATATATATACGCCAGAAAACGGACTTGAGACGGTTGTTGTAGTTTTTAAAACATAATATTCGTAAAGTTCGTCGAGGTTTCGGCCTGAAACAGGCCTTTTTCGGGACTCTTTTTATTGTTTTCGAGACACTGTTTTAAAGGCTCCAACAACCGTCTCAAGTGCGTTTTCTGCCGTATATACTTTTTGTCCATCCTGCGCTACGTTTTTTTTCTTTGTCTCGCTCCCTCTCTCTCTCTCTTTATATATATATATATATATATATATATATATATATATAATTATATTTTTTTTTATAATAATAATTATATTTATAATTATAATTTATATTATAATTATTATTATAATTTATAATAATATATTATAATTATAATTTTTCGCCAGCTCACTTTCCCTTTCCCTTTCCCTAACTTTAATGCAATAAATTCAATAATCACCTTCTCCCCTCTTCGTTCGCAATATCACTACGGCTGCACTTGTCAATCTTCACTCAATCCCATTATATATATACGGTGCAGCCTGTCCCTATGGGGAGGAGTGGTTCCCTAGATATCCTGGAAGACGGGCCCTTTCCGACATTGGCAAGCTGAGATGACGTGCCACGTCACTGCCGCATGTCGGAAATAGCGCGGGCCTTAAATCAGCAACGGTTGTCGTCTACCCAGTTAAGCGAATTCGAAACTAAACAGTACACAGAGAGCTGGTCAGAAATTGAGTCCGCCGAAACCAGTGGCCAGGATGGTCTAATCGGTTAAGGCGTCGCCCCGGTCAGGCGAAGGTTGCGGGTTCAATCCCCGCTCCTGGCCCAATTTTTCGCCAGCTCACTTTCCCTTTCCCTTTCCCTAACTTTAATGCAATAAATTCAATAATCACCTTCTCCCCTCTTCGTTCTCAATATATATATATATATATATTTTATCCCAATGTTTTGTTTTGATTTCCAGGAGATTTGGGCTACTACGACACTGAAGGTCGCATTTATATTATCGACAGGCTGAAAGAAATGATCAAATGCATGGGAAATGTCACCCCCGCTGAGTTGGAAGAAATTTTATTGACCCATGAGGCTGATGCAGAGGCCGTAGTTGTGGGTGTTCCCAGCTCCACGTATGGCGAGGCTCCAACTGCCTGTGTCGTTGTCAAGGAAGGCTTCGAGAAAAGCCTCGAGAGTCCAGCGACGGAACTAAAGGCACTCATTGCTGGTATATGTCCTGATCCCAATATTTCAATTTTGTTTTTAGTATTTTATGAGCATATCTAACTTACAAAATTCAAAGCTTAAATTTTAAGTAATATACGGGACTTTGGTGTCAAAATAAGCTGTCTATTCATGTATAATGATATCTAGAAATGAGGCTTTTCACAGTGTGCACGAAATTCTTCAAAAGCAGCTACATATCTAAAACTAATTATTTAATGTAAAAAAATATTTAAAATGCGGTTAGTCATATTGAGGCGACCCTTTCCGCGTAGGGAATTTGTGAATTTTTTTGCAATAATTTATTTTAAAAAGCTATTTGAAGCTTTAGTGACCGGAGAAAATTTATTGTGAATTCCAGAAAACCAGAAAAACACTGTAAATACGAGAATGATTTTTGGTTAATGGAGCTATTTTCAAGATTTGGAAATTCCGAAGCATTCAATTAGAAATTTGATGGCACAAATTACTGTTTTCAAGCATGTCGTGGATAACATTTATAGGTGGCTATTATCCAGCGGGGTAATTGACTATATTATTAACTTCTAGTCGAAACTGACAAAGCAGCAAAAACACTAGTTAACTTACTTTCCACAAAGTAGAAGGCATGACAGGAGCCAGTGTGCTTTGTTTCAGTCATTTTTTTATAATTGTCAAAATTACATAAATACAGAACGCAAACGTCCTTCCGCTTTTTCATATGCACAAAATATGGTTAATGAAGGGGCTGTTCAGCGTGCGGGATGCTAATTAAATTATTATACATCCTCGTTTCACCTTTTTATGTTTTATAGGTCAAGCAGTTGTGTTCAAGCAGCTGTATGGGGGGTGTTCTCTTTATGAACTCTCTTCCCATGTCTAATAACGGAAAGATCCCGAGACAAGACCTGAAAACGAAGGTCACCCAGGAAAAAGAGAAGCTGGAAAAATAGTAGAGCTTCTCAGATTCCCCAAGCCACACGAAAACCAAGATGTAATCGTCTAAAATGGCGTTTTAAGATTTCCATTGTAATAAAAAAGACTTTAAAAAAGCTGTCAAGCACAAGTAATTGTCATGTTTGTGAGTTGTTTCTATTTTAATAACTGCATAAGGATAAAACGAAGTTTTATTTATGGTAAAATGTATAAAACGCTTTACGTTTTGTGAGGTATAGTATATAGTGTCGAGACGATCCGGTTGGCAATAGAGATTATAAGACCAGAAGATAATAAAACACACAACAGATTTGTGGAGGCCATGCAATCACGTAAAATATGGCGCGAGATAGTTGTGCTTGGTAGACCACGTCTTCCCTTGCCTGATAATATATACATACAAATATTCCTACGTGAGTAATTAATGAAAAGACTGGTCAGAAGATTGGGAAAAACATTACAATTTTAAGTTTTAGCTATTGATGGAACTATTGTAACTTATACAAGCATGCGCAAGTAATGTCGCGAAAGTAAATTTGTGGTATGTTTTTTTTTCTTTTTTTGATTTAAAATTAATATGTAGCACACGGGCATTCTGGCTCTTCACATGTGTATTCACGATACTTATTAAATATCGCGGAGATTTTCCGCTAATTGTGGATACGCGCCCAATTACATACCTCAGAAGAAAAGCATGCACTAGGAAGCAACGAGCATGTACTAAGAAGAGAAGAAGAAGAAGGCTACCAGCTCGAGCGGAGCCTAGTTCGAACTGTTGGTTGGTACGACATCAACCTTCAAGAGCTTTCCCCATGTCTAAACTGTAATAACGTTGTATAACTATTGTTTGTAAACTGGAGTAATCTTAATTATCGAACATTCTGGTGCCGAAACCCGGGACACCAGTGACCATACGAGATCAGTGGACAACGAACATGGAGCGGCTCCAGACGAAAAGGTTGATGACGCGAGCCGAAATTGAACATCTAAGCGAAGAGATACAAGTAGCGGCTACAATTGAGGACTTCAGGCCTCATCAGGAAGAACAGCTCGCAGAAATAACGGACGAGCTGGATGCCCTGGCAAGGGAACTCAAGGAGCAAGATGCGCTCATAGAGGTCCAAGTAAAGAACGAGAACCTCACCGAAGAATACAAGGCCGTCAGGGAGACACAAAGTGTCATTACCCGAATGCGGACGCTTCTTCGCCGCCTAGAGACAAGGACCGTCATCTATCGGGAGGAGGGTGGCTGAGACCACAGAACGACCTCCCACTAAAACCCAGAGCCGAGCTGGACAGCTTAACCTACCAAAGCTCGAACTCCAATGGTTTGAAAGGGAGAAGTTGAATTCGCTTACCTTCTGGGAGCAGTTTCGACAGGCGATCCACGACAACATCAAGCTGTCCGGCGTGGAGAAGTTTCTGTACCTGCGGATGGTGCTGACGGGCAAGGCGGCGGCGGCGGTAAGCGGCATTCAAGCAAGGAAGAACAGCTACGCCTATGCCGTGGAGCTTCTGAACAAGAGATTCAGCAAAAGAGACGTCCTTGTTAAAGAACACCCCACACAGCTTCTGAACCTGCCAAAAGTGAAGGCGCTGAGTGACCTCGGGGCCCTCCGTCGTCTAAACGATCACGTGCATCGCAGCATCGCTTCGCTCAGGACTTTGGGCATCGACTCTGACAGCTACGGGGTGATGCTGTGTGCTGCGTTGTTCTGCGTCCTGCCTGCTAACTGGGCCGTGGACTTCTAAAAAAGCAAGAGTAGTAGCAATGAAGCACCGGAAAGCTCAAATTTTGAGGCTGGCCTGCGATCGATGCGTGTAGAGCTGGATAGCAGAGAGAAGGTATACGACGGCGGTACACGGGACCGACCGCAAGCTCTGAAAATACACAGCGACAGGGATCGATCAAGCGACAACCTCCGAGGAAAGGGGTCTGCTGCTTCCTTGGTACCAAGCCCTCTGGCGACGGGTGCCTTTTTTGTTCCTCCGAATTACATGAAGCACCGCTATGTAACTCCCGATGTAAAACTTTCACCCTTCCTTAATTCCACGCGGAGCATTGAAATCCTACTGGGGGCAGGTCACTATTGGAATATGGTGAGCGGAGAAGTTCGCAAGACACAAGGATTTTTGGTCGCGCTGAGGACGGAGTTCGGTTGGACACTGCGAGGCCCAAATCCTCAGGTTGCTTCTGTGCTGTCCTGCACTATTCTGGCCGTCCTGAACACCGGCGTTGCAAAACCGACCTTGACCCTCTCAAACGAATTTCGAGCACTCTGGGAGTTGAAAAGCCTCGGAATCTCCGTGAACGACTCTCCGCGCGTAAAAGAGGAAGAACAAGTGAGAGAGGATTTCGCTTCCTCTTTAGCTTTGGTCATGGGCCGTTATGATGCAAACTTCCCGTGGAAGCCCCTAAATCGGCCCTTAGAGAACAACGAAGCCGTTGCAGTACGGGGTCTGGACAAGTTGGTTCGGCGTTACAGAAGCAACACCAAAAGACTGACGCAGTACGACTTAGCGATCTGTAGCTACCTGAAAGAAAGTTTTGCTGAAAGGGTGCCAGAAGGCGAGGTCGACACCACTCGGAAACGACTTTACTAAATGCCTCATCGTGCTGTTTTTAGACCTGAGAGGTCGAACTGAGCTGCATGTCTTCACAGACGCTAGCCCTCAGGCCTATGGGACAGTCGCGTATTTATGTAGTGACAACGATTACCAGACGACAGTGACCCTCGTTATGGCCAAGACGCGCGTTGCGCCAGGAAAGACCTTGACTCTACCAAGACTGGATCTGATGGGAGCGTTACTGGACGCTCGACTATGTGCATACTTTAAGGGAATTTTTGAGTCTGATCTCTTAGAAGTGATCCTGTGGACAGACTCTATGATTGCTTTTCCTAGGGTAAAGGGACTGGCTACTCAGTGGAAACCATTTGAGGCAAACCAAGTTATGGAGATTCAACAGAGGACAGAACCCAGCAATTGGAGACACTGCCCTGGAGCTGAGAACCCGGAGGATATACTAACCCGGGGTGTCCCTCCGGACTGTCGACAGAAGTGTGACCTACGGTGGAAAGGACCAAAGTAGCTGTCAGAGTCACCCAGACGTTGGCCTACTATGCCCACTGGTACCCAAGATATTGCAGCCAAGGAAGAAAGAACTTCCTAACTAACGGTGGGCCATACTGCTACGAGCTCCTGTATGCCTGTGGTAAACATCGGAAAGTTTGGCGAGCTGAATCGCATACGACGGGTCACTGCTTGGGTGCTACGTTTTGTTAAAAATTGTAGACACACCAAAGAGAATCTCCAAGGTTCACTCAAAACTGAAGAGATAGGTGAGGCACGTCTTAGGTCGCTCCGTCAAGTTCAGAGGAAAGCTTTTGGGAATGAACTAAACCAATTAGAACGAGGCGAACAGTGCAGTGGCTCGTCAGATCGGCGCACTCTGAATGTATTCATAGATTACAGAGGGTTGCTACAACTGAGATGACGCCTACAACAATCAGGCCTCGGTTATGAAACGGCATATCCTGTCGTTTCGCCTTCGACACATCCCTTTGTGGAACTGCTGATTTTAAGCACACATCGACGGCTGCTACATGCAGCGTGCATGGACACTCTAACTCAGCTGCGCCAGTCGTTTTGGATTATACGAGCCCGACAAGTAGTTAAGACGGCCTTAAGCCGTTGTCTTGTCTGCAGAAGGATGAGCAGCAAGAGTGCGACCGAACCAGTCAATCCGCTGCTACGAGACCTTGTGTTGGAGGCGGGCCCTATTGCGGTCACGGCACTCGACTTCGCCGGACCTGTCCTCACCAAGGACGAGGGCAATGGTAAAAAAAATCATACATTCTACTACTGACCTGCGCAGTCACTAGAGCAATACACCTAGAGGTGGTGAGCGACTTGTCGAAAGGTAGTTTACATTTGGCATTTCGTCGCTTTGTGGCCCGGCGCGGACTCTGCCACACCATCTACTCTGATAATGCCCAGACTTTCCACCGAGCGTCTGCTGAATTCAGAAAAATATGGAAAACAATGAGAGAACAGTAGTCACTCAACTACACGTCCAGTCAAGATATCAACTGGAAATTCATCACTCCTCGAGCGGCTTGATGGGGCGGGTTTTGGGAGCGAATGGTTCAATCGGTTAAAGGGACACTGCCAGGGTATTTACACTCGCCGAGATTTTTAGTGTACGTGACACATGAGAGCCCAACTACCCAGAACAGAATTTGAGGCTAAAGTTTCTTTTTCTTTCCTCCCGAAAACCGCCGATTGAGAACTGGCCGGTTTGAGTCGCGCTCACTCGCTTTCCGTGGTCACAGTTTAGACATGTTTAGACACGACCACCAAATTTAATCAAAGTCGTGGGTCATTGAAGGCACACAGTAAATAATAAAAATAGAAGAAAAATATGAAACCCATTTTTTGTGGCTTCCAAAAAAGCTGCAAATGCGTTGATTGAAAAAGAAAAAAAAAGGTTGCACAGACAACTGGTAGCATTCTGTGCGCTCACTGCATAATTTTCAAGATGGCGTCGTTTCGCGTATCTTGGGACTAGCGGATGGAAACGGACGACGAGCGTGCGACCTCTACTTCAAAACTGCCATTCACAGTACTGGCGAATTTTGACTCCATTCGAAAGAGAAATTTCGAACCGATCAAACGAATTGATATTCATCCCGTACGACACGCCCGACCAGCAAGCCAATTGCACGAAGACGTCGCCTAGCAGTCGTCCCTTTGCGTGGCTGAAGACATCACTCGCTCAAACGTCATGTACGAAGTGCGTATTTCGAGTTGAATACGCATTCGTACGGTGTCTTTACTAAGTGCGAATGTGGCCAATGCGTGGTGCTTCCCGACTTCAAGCCGGGAGTGCATGTAGTGGAGGCGGGAGAGAAATCAGCAGCCAACTTTGCGATCGACGGGCTGCAATACTACGAAAGAGAGAGTTCCTACTATAGCTCAGTGGGAAGATGTTCGCTTCACACTTAGCGGGCATGGGTTTTATTCCTAGTGTGGCAGTGTTATTTTTTTTTGTCAAACATTTTGCGATGTTTACATTTCTTTTTTTACAATTATCACTGCAAAAACAATTGCCGTGGACGATACGTCGCTGAACTAAAAGGTATGGGATTCCATTTTTGACACCTGCGAACTCAATGTAGTCACTTTCTTCAAAATGCAAGGAGCAATATGAACCGGGTAGAGTCCGCTTTCCGAGGTTGGCGTAACGGTTCTACAGGAATTGCAGCCAGCATTTGATCCCGACCTGTTGATCTTTCGAAAACTTGTCCACTCTGCCGCACAATGCCACTTTCAGGTGCAGGACATGTGAGGCAGCTCTTCACGCAACATCTTGGGAGTATTCTTTTCGGAGCCGATCACGGAAATTAACCACGGGCACTCACTACTAATTGCCAACACTTAAATGTATAAAACAACTCAACTTCATGTACAGAGCAGCGAGCGGAACAAACATAACTGCAAAGGATTCGCACGGCGAGCAGATACCGCAACGCATTTAATCTGCTGCGTGCGGAAAGAAAAAATTCGCACGATTGGGTGTAGCTACGGGACTTTCGCCACTCACTCTCTCGTCTCCACTTCTCCGTGTGATGCGGGGGTTTCGGTTTTGAGCAGTTTTTTTGTTTGGCTTTATTAAAAAAAAAATACGTGACTCTGCAGGAAAATATTAATTGAGTAGTATTCCAACAACAACAATAAATCGCCTAACAAAAATTGAAAAAAAAAGATAGGGGGTGGGGGTGTTACTGTCCCGTTAAGACCCCTCTGAAAAAGGTTCTGGGGTGCAGCTACGTAACCTGTGAAGAGCTGAGCACCATATCAACGGAGGTAGAGGCTGTGATCAATTCTCGACAATTGACCTTCATCTCCTCTGACGCGGATGAACCAGAACCATTGACACCCGCACATTTCCTTGTCGGTAAACGACTGACTTCCCTGCCAACTCGAGGAGGAGAGCCTGTATTGTCATCAGCTAACGATCTAACTCGCCGTTGGAAGTTTCGTGAGACGCTATTGACCACACTATGGAAGCGCTGGCGCCAAGATTATCTCTGTACTTTAAGCTCATTTCATCACAGCAGACCGGCAGCCTCGAGTAATTTACGGGGGAATGACTTGGTGCTACTGCACGACGACTTCCATCCACGACAAACCTAGAAAACTGGCCGCGTCATGCAAGTGCTCCCGGGGCGAGATGGCCACGTCCGATCCTGCCTGGTCCGTTTGTCAGGAGGAACAACCATTAGACGTCCCGTTCAACTGTTGCAACAACTGGAAGTTCATAACAAATGAGCAACGCTCATTCGGCGGGGGGGGGGGGGGGGGGGGATATTAAATATTGAGGACATTTCCCGCTAAATGTGGATACGTGCGCGACTTCACACCTCCCAAGATAAGAGACCAAGGAGCATGTGCTAAGAAGAGAAGAAGAAAAAGGCTACCAGCTCGAGCGGAGCCTAGTTGGAACTGTTGGTCGATACGACATCAACCTTCAAGAGCCCTCCCCATGTCTAAACTGTAAATACGTTGTATAGCTCTTGTTTGTAAACCAGTGCAATCTAAATTATTGAACAGTATTAATCAGCAGCCCTTCAAAGCTTACTTTAAAAACTAGTTAACTGCTAAGAGATTTATACGGAAGTTTCCCCAGGAATTGAATTTAGGGGGTGTCCAAATTTTTACGGGGGGGGGGGGGGGGGGGGTCCATTGAG